AGCCCATACATGGGGCTGTCTGTGCCCTTTAGGGAGAAGAATGAAAACAGCTGAAATCAGCCCATCAGCCTATGAAGACATGGTGAAAGATATGCGAGTTGTCCTTCTTGCACCTCAGCAGCCCACAGATAACTCATTCTTATATATGAACCTCACTGGCTGGGTACCCATTATGTGCCTAGCTCGGTGCTGCATACTTCATGCTCTCTCTTAATCCTGCAAAGGGGCAGTTGAATCACATATTAGCTGTTTTGTTGTTGTTGTTTTGTTGTTGTTTGTTGTTGTTGTTGTTTGTTTTTGAGATGGAGTCTCGCTCTGTCACCCAGGCTGGAGTGCAGTGGTGCAATCTCGGCTCACTGCAACCTCCGCCTCCTGGGTTCAAGCGATTTTCCTGCCTCAGCCTCCCGAGTAGCTGGGATTACAGTCATGTACCACCACGCCCAGCTAATTTTTTTATTTTTAGTAGAGATGGGGTTTTGCCTAAAGTGCTGGGATTACAGGCATGAGCCACTGTACCCGGCCAGCTGTTCTGACCGAAGACTTGTCTTCTTCATTAACCTGCTCCTCCTATTTCATCCTGTAAATCTTTAAATCTGAGGGGTATTATCCACAGCTCATCTCCACTTTTCTAATCTGACAGCACTGATAGTTGAATTCCTCAGAAGCAAGATGTTTCTCTGGCACCCGGAGGCCTCAACAGTGTCACAACAGCTGAAGTGTCACTTCTTCCTCATCCTGGGCACACCGTGATGTAGTGCAGCCCCACTGATTGGGACCCATGCAGCCAGCCTGGCCCAGGGCCACTCTCTCCCAGAATGTCCACAGGTCAAGGGATCTCTACTTCCATCCTTATTTTCCTCAAAAGCTGGTCCCAGCAGTAATCAACCAGACTTCTAGAAAAGAGGAGATATCTGCTCTCAAGGCTGCTGTGGGCTCCAGTGTTGTAATCTACTACTTGAATCTAGTTGTTTATTTCATTCTATAATAATTTAATATAGCAGATGTCAGGAAAAATCTTTGTTTAGATATTATGTCATATCTGGATATATCTGAATCCTAAAGGATTAATCTCAATATTAACAATATTCACTTCTGCCAGTGTCAAGAGTATTTTCTGCTGTTGGGCTTAAATCAATTTTAAAATTTGAGAGTTTTAAAAGCATATCTTTCTGTGTTCATAAATAAACAGAACAAAAATTCTTTGAGTACCTTAATTTTTCACACAGAATTAACCAAAGCCTTATTTAATATTTCAAAATCCTCATTTATACATATTAAATATGTGTCTTTGGTTAAAATGCAAGATACTGAAAGAAAAATTCAAATAGGCATTTCAGTAAATAGCTTACATATAATATCTCATTTGTCTGACATTACAAAGTAAGTACTTTCACAAGTAATGTTTCCAGCTAACTGAAGTCCAATAATAATAGAGGCCACCTTAAGCTGGGAGTATTTGTTTCCTATATTGCCTAATTAAAAAAATATCCTTTTCACTGTAGATAATTGTGCTAATTAAAAGAAGTCAACAGTCTATGGCATAGATTTCCATACATAGCCAGATCTGTGTTTGGATAGAATGAATCAAATGAAATAGGAAGTCTAGGAAAATTTTTAAGGTATAAAAAAAATTGTATTTAGGTTTGGCTTGAACTTGTTTAAAAATAGATAATGTTTTTTTTAAAAAAATTACATTTAGGAAACAAGTGTAGTTCTTTTATGAGAGTTCAAAATTAGTGCTGTCAATAACCTTTAGGGCAAATGATCATTTCCTTCAATTTTAACATTCTAAACTTAAAACTGATATTTCATTACCCTTAATTCTATCATAAAGTCCTATATTTTTCTTTAGGTGAATAAAATACAAGGGGTAATTACATATTTGTCTGTTGAGCATTATAAGGAAAGTGGCTTTGGGAACAAAAACCATCCTAGAAATCTCCCCAGATGTCTTTTTCCTATGTGGTTTCAGGAACCCCAAAACTATTCTCAGAGCAGTGACTCAAGTTTATTACATTCTGTGTAACCCCAAGTCCAGCTAGCACTCAAAAACAAAACACAAACAAAAAACTCAAAGTCCCCAGCATCCTGTTCTCAAAAGGACATTAATCTGATGTGTTCAATAATTAATATTTGACATTCTAAATTCACTACCAATTTTCAAATGTCAAATGCTATAATTTTATTTTAGTTTATGTATTTATTTATGTTTGAGATGGAGTCTTGCCCTGTCACTGAGGCTGGAGTGCAGTGGCACAATCTTGGCTCACTGCAACCTCCACCTCCCAGGTTCAAGCGATTCTCTAGCCTCAGCCTCCCTAGTAGCTGGGACTACAGGTGTGCACCACCATGCCTGGCTAATTTTTGTATTTTTCATAGAGACAGGGTTTTGCCTTGTTGGCTAGGCTGGTCTCGAACTCCTGACCTCAGATGGTCCACCACCTCGGCCTCCCAAAGTTCTGGGATTACTGGCGTGAGCCACTGAGCCTGGCCAAATGCTACTAATTTTAGCTCAACTTTTATGCAAACCATCTTCCACATTTGAAGTGTTTATTTTCTGAATGAGATAATTTGCTTTCCTTTGCTAATTCACATATGAATTAACATAAGGAAACAATCACAGATCCTTAATTCTCAACTTCTCCTGCCCTACCTCATCTTCTGCCCATTACCCTACATCCTTTATGTCAACATTATGCTTTACAATTTACCAAATACTTCCCTCCCGTTGATTCAACAAATGTTTATGCAGCACCTATTATATCCCACTAGGGGTTTAATGGTCACAACTCTATCTTCTCAAGCTCTTCCTTTGGTTATTTATTTTTATAATTCTGTGAGGGTGGCAGGGTGGGTATTGTCCTCATTTTTACAGCTGAGCCAATAAGCTCAGCGTTTACATGATTTTCTCAAGGTCACATAGGTTTTAAGCACAGAACTGGAAGCTAGGACTCCTTATGCCTAATGTCATATGTTGTTATAACAGACTGTCTACTTGAAATTAATTCTGTGTGACACTATTTTAATTCTTTGTTCTCACTCTTAAATTATCTTTAAGCTTTTTTTCGTGTCATTTTCTGTCCTATGAAGCAGAAACTGTGCCTTTTTCTTCCTGGTTTTAAGCAGGTGGGACGCAGGGGTACAGTCTGATAGTAACTGCTGTTAGAAAACAAAAACCATAACAACATAGATTATTCATGCAGCATGCAGAATTAACTCATGTTGAAAGGAGGTTTCTTCCCATGTTTTCAAGCAGGGCTGATACTCAGGACACATGCAGCCTAGCTGTGTTGGGTGTTAAAACATTTAAATACTGTTGGAAAACCACATCTCTTCTGAGCTTCCTGAGAAGCACTCCTCCAGCGCTGGCCTTGGACCCATACGTCTCCCTTTGTGTCAACAGCTGGCACAGCACAGAATCCTGCCCTAAAGCTATAGTCAGCTACTGTCCCAACTGCCTGTGCTTTCTCAGGTGATCATTTTATAAATCTTTTTTGTTTTCTTTTTTTGAGACACAGTTTCGCTCTTGTTGCCCAGGCTGGAGTGCAATGGCATGGTCTCAGGTCACTACAACCTCCACCTGCCAGGTTCAAGCAATTCTCTTACCTCAGCCTCCCAAGTAACTGGGATTACAGGCATCTGCCATCATGCCTGGCTAATTTTTGTATTTTTAGTAGACACAGGAGTTTACCATATTGGCCAGGCTGGTCTTGAACTCCTGACCTGAGGTGATCTGCCCATCTCGGCCTCCCAAAGTGCTGGGATTACAAGCGTGAGCCACCGCGCCCAGCCTATAAATCGTTACTTTTAGAGACAGGGTCTATCTAGCCCAAACTGGAGTACAGTGGCATGATCCTAGCTCACTGTAGTCTTGAACTCTTCCTGGACTCAAGGGATCCTCCTGCCTCAGCCTCCTGAGTAGCTAGGACTACAGGCATGCACCACCACAACCAGCTAATTTTTAAATTTTCTGTAGAGACAGTATCTTGCTACATTGCCCAGGCTGGCCTCGAACTCCTGGCTTCCAGTGATCTTCCCGCCTCAGCCTCCCAGAGTGCTGGGATAACAGGCGTGAGCCACCATACCCAACCAGGTGATACATATTTTTAATAACACTTCTGCTTTCAGAGAAGATCCTGGGGTATAGTCAGGACATTACTATCTAGGCTAAATATCTGTAGTGTCAAATCCTATCTTTATATAACAGCACTGGCTTCTTGCCTACTGATGTAATTAGGGGGGTACAGGGAAAACCCTTACTGTTAAGATTGTATTTGCATCTTAATGTGAATGCATGACTTATTAGGTCCTTTCCAATAAAATAGTTACCAGAGAGGGTGGCTCTTCAGGAAGGGAGAATAAAAGGGAGAGGTAGATGCAGAGCATGAAGTACCTGGAGAAGTCAACCTCGAGGGCCTAGACTGGGGTGCTGAGAGAGAAGGCAGTAAAAAACAGGCTTACGAAGATACCCTTTTTTTTTGCGATGAAGTCTCGCTCTGTTGCCCAGGCTGGAGTGCAGTGGCATAATCTTGGCTCACTTCAACTTCTGCCTCTGGGCTTCAAGCAATTCTCCTGCCTTGGCCTCCCGAGTAGCTGCGACTACAGGCATGCCACCACACCTGGCTAATTTTTGTATTTTTAGTAGAGAGACGGAGGTCTCATCATGTTGGTCAGACTGGTCTCAACCTCCTGACCCCAAGTGATCCGCCCGCCTCAGCCTCCCAAAGTGCTGGGTTTACAGGCGTGAGCCACCACGCCCAGCTGGAAGGTGCCTTTTAAAATATTATTTAGTTTTTTTTTTTTGGTCACTCTAATAAAGTTAGGAAGGTGCCTGTTAATTCCTTTGACCTATGTTGAAATTTAGACTCCTAATGTTACTCTCAAACCAAATAAGCCCTTTTCAACAGATATGAAGGACAGCATAAAAAAACCAAAAATCTCATTTCAACATATTAATAAATGGGTTAACTGCCAGAACTTGGGAGTGAAGATGCTTAAATTTTTAAAATTTTTATTTGAATGAAATCATTGTAATAATCATTCAAATGATTTGAAATAGAATGATCTCTGTGAAAGGAAGTTTATAGCATCACTATTTATAGAAGAGAAAGCAGCAGAGGTATGTATCTGCAAGTGAATATAACGTTGTAAAATCAGCCCACATTAAATACCAAAAAAGAAAGAACAATCAAAATGCAGCATTACTTACAGGATTAAAAAGAAAAGTGTGAAGAGTACAGAGTTAAACTTTTGTATGTGTGAATTTTGACCTGCTATGTTGTTAGCGAAAAGCCTTAGTGTTTGCATAAAATGTGTACCCTGATCCCAACCACCATGAGATCAAGACACAAACTGACAACGATTCCTTATTTTACAGCTTTATTACTGATTTTCCTCTAAAAAGAAACCCAAATAAATGTGACGCTGACTCATCTATAGAGTAAGGAATCACAAAGTACCATAGTACTTTACAAAAGCAAAAGCAAAAAAAAAAGCGATTGTTTTACCTTTCAACTGCTGATGTTATGTACAATCTATCACAAGAAGCATAGCTGTGCATTCATGAGCTGATTATATCAACCTCTAGAATTTTAGAAACGAACACATCTAAGCATATGGATAACTCTCTTACCTTACAAAGTAAAAGTAAGCATTTTCTATTTAAAAATTCTTATTTCTGTGTAAAACAAAGAACTCCTAGAGGTCAAATAATATACCAAACTCATAGCAGTATTAAGTCATGAAATAAAGAAGATTCTGAGGTAGAAGTCAAGCAATATAATCCACAATTTCAGGTATTCCCAGCAACCATCGCATCTCGCAAGTAAGATCTATTTTTTTTTAAAGTCTCAACTTCCATAAAATCAATAATCCATTCTCTAAAATCAGATATAAAACTATGACCAACAGAAGACACCCAAACTTTTGTCATGGTAACAGAGTAAATGCTTTTACTAAAAGCTGCCAACATTTCTATCAGTAGTAACCGTAAGGAGGCCGCTGGTTGTAACCATAATGTCCATATTGCTGGGGATAGTAAGGTTCTGGTCTGTGTTGTGGGTAATTGTTACCCCAGGATCGTCCATGCCACTGATTGGATCGATTGTCACTTGGCCACCCCCATCTGTTGTCCCTGCCTCTGAACTGTCTGTTGTCTTGCAACCTACAACAATAAAAACAAAAAAAGTCTTTAAACTTCCCTTGTTAAAAAAACATTACGACAAACCCATAGCAGTGCTTCTGGTTTCTCATTCTAATACACAATAAATAAGACTATAAAACATTTTTCACAATAGAACGTTATAGCACCAGTTATTCAAAACTTTCCTAAGATTGAAATCACTCTTCCAGTGTTATACTAGGTATACTTTACAGAGACATAGGCAGACTATATAACCAATAGAATAGTTCCAAATTAAAGTGAAATCTATTCAATTGCACAAAAACGATATGGTAATTTATTCCTTTGACTATTTTGAATTATTAAGTAAAAGTAACTTCCATTTGTAAACTTCTTCCTAAAGTAAAATCAAAACAATATTTTCTTTCTGGAATTGAACAAGTTGTTGAAAACTCTAGGTTTTTTTTTTTTTTTTTTTTTTTGAGACGGAGTCTCGCTCTGTCACCCAGGCTGGAGTGCAGTGGCCGGATCTCAGCTCATTGCAAGCTCCGCCTCCCGGGTATATGCCATTCTCGTGCCTCAGCCTCCCGAGTAGCTGGGACTACAGGCACCCGCCACCTCGCCTGGCTAGTTTTTTGTATTTTTTAGTAGAGACGGGGTTTCATGGTGTTAGCCAGGATGGTCTCCATCTCCTGACCTCGTGATCCGCCCATCTCGGCCTCCCAAAGTGCTGGGATTACAGGCTTGAGCCACCGCACCTGGCCAACTCTAGGTTTTTAAAGTAGATTTGCATTGAAAATATAGTCTACAGAAAGAACATCTAAAAACAAGAAAACACACACACTTGAACAGCAAGAAAAAAATATATGGTGCTGAAAAAATATTAAAGCAAATATCTATCAGAAACAATGTATCAGGTACTGTTATTAGGTACTAGGCATGCCATACTAAAAACAGTGGTCCCTGCCCTCACTGGTCTTCCAGTCTAGCAGATTAAAGCAATCCTCTGCCAGATCAACCATCTGCATTTATTCTTTTGAATACACACCGATTGCCTCTGTTTCTTTGGTTCCCACCAGCTCTGCTATTCCATTCCTCCACAATTGGAGGAGACTCAGGAGGGCGTTTCAGGTATTCCTGATACTCCTTGTCATTTTCTGTGAATCTACTAGCAAACATCTCTTCAAAATTTGGAACAGCTTCGGCAGTGTCAGTCATTCTGAAATTCTGTACAATTTTGAAGACATTTCCATTAAAAAAATTTAAAAATTAACACTCTCTCCAGATAATGAAAAACCAAGAAGTAAGCAATTTTTAGGCAGGGTATTCGTGGAAGCCTTTGTGTGCTTTCAGACTTGTCATATTTTAGATACTGAATTCAACATTTTCTTTTCTTTTTTTTTTTTTTTTTGACACAGGGTCTCTCTCTCTGTCACCCAGGCTGGAGCACAGTGGTAACAACCTCGGGTCACTGCAGCCTTGACTTCCCTGGCTCAAACAATCCTCCCACCTCAGCCTCCCAAGTTGCTGGGACTACAGGTGCATGCCACCCATACCCAGCTAATTTTCGTATTTTTTGAAGATATGGGGTCTTGCCATGTTGCCTAGGCTGGAAGTCTTGGGCTTCAGTGATCCTCCCACCTTGGCCTCCCAAAGTGCTGGGATTACAGGCTTGAGCCACTGTGCCTGGCCCAAATTATTTTTCTTACGTTATTAACTTCCAATAAAAGGTTTTGGACAAAGAGATGTGACAACGGAAGCTACTGTGGTAACTTCTTCATTAGCCTGCCTTTCCTCCAAACATATGCAAATATTTGTAACATTTATACTACCTACTTTCACTCCAACAAAATTAAACCAAAATTATTGTTTGGAGTGCAAGAAACAATATGTAGATTTTCTTTCTTTTTTTTTTTTCCCCCCCGAGACAGAGTCTTGCTCTGTTGCCCAGAGCTGGAGTGCAATAGCACAATCTCAGCACAATGCAACCTCTGCCTCCCAGGTTCAAGCAATTCTCCTGCCTCAGCCTCCCAAGTAGCTGGGACTACAGGCATATGCCACCACACCCAGCTAATTTTGGTATTTTTAGTAGAGATGGGGTTTTGTTGACCAGGCTGGTCTTGAACTCCTGACCTCATGATCTGCCCGCCTTGGCCTCCCAAAGTGCTGGGATTACAGGTGTGAGCCACTGCACCCAGGTTTTTTTTCTTTTTTTTTTTTTTTTTGAGACGGAGTTTCACTCTTGTTGCCCAGGCTGGAGTGCAATGGCGTGATCTCGGCTCACTGCAGTCTCCGCCTCCTGAATTCAAGTGATTCTCCTGTCTCAGCCTCCTGAGTAACTAGGATTACAGGTGCACGCCTGCCCGCTAATTTTTGTATTTTTAGTAGAGATGGGGTTTCATCATGTTGGCCAGGCTGATCTTGAACTCCTGACCTCAGGTGATCCGCCTGCCTCAGCCTCCCAAAGTGTTGGGATAACAGGCGTGAGCCACCACGCCCAGCCTGACACTCTTATCTTTCAGGCTATTGCTCTTAGTATGCTTTATCAAATGCCAAATATAAAAGACTTTCAATGTGTCTGGGATTGGCAAACTATATGTCAAATTCTCAAATCCAAGGAATGAGTTTTAAATAAATTCAGCTAATTAAAATCATGCGTAGAAGAATTCTACTGGGATCACAGAAATCACTAAAAAGATGACCCATACCTAATCCAGATGGGCAGTAAAAATCGTAAGGCAAGGAAAAGGTGCTACTCCATTTTTATGTTCTCATGTTCTCCCACGACTCCCCACCCACACTCATGTCAACAAATATCAACTGTATTATTACTGAGAATGGAATTCAAATAGAATGTTAATTGACCCAAGCTTTACTTACCCCAAAGATTTGAGGCAGCTGTATTGCTTATTAGGTTGTTTAAATCTGTGGGAGGAAAAAAACAAACTTGACTTTATTTAAGGAAACTCTCAAAAGGCGTTTGCGGGGGAGGGTAGCGCATAAGAGTCTTACTCGAGGACAGAATTGGAGTAAAAGTGCTCTAAGGCCAGGCGCGGTGGCTCACGCCTGTAATCCCAACACTTTGGGAGGCCAAGGCAGGCGGATCACGAGGTCAGGAGATCGAGACCAGCCTGGCTAACACGGTGAAACCCCATCTCTCCTAAAAATAGAAAAAATTAGCCGGGCATGGTGGCAAGTGCCTGTAGTCCCAGCTACTCGGGAGGCTGAGGCAGGAGAATCGCTTGAACCTGGGAGGCAGAGGTTGCAGTGAGCCGAGATCGCACCACTGCACTCCAGCCTGGGCGACAGAGCGAGACTCCGTCTCAGAAAAAAAAAAAAAAAAAAACCGCTCTAAAGACTTCCAAAACTAACATTCCAGAGAGGGAACTGGTTCTCACAGTGAAGAGCAAGAAGCTACAAGATTTGTCCTCTGGGTCTTCAAAAGCAAAATAGTTCAAGTATGAATAAGAACTTCATAAAGTATGTATGTTCTTTTAGGATAAGCCTTTCAGATTTGTACTTGAAAACTACTAATTTATTCACCATAAATAAAACCACAAAGAACTTTGGCTGTGGGCGACTAACCCTGGAAATAACCAACCAGAATGGGGTTTCGCTGCCCTAGGAGGTGAGCCCGGGGAACAGACGAAGATGCAGACTGAAAACAACTGCGTTTTCCAGTCCGTCCTCAAGGCACATCACAGCTTGCTTACCAAGGTTCTGGCAGATTTGCTCCCTTCCGAAGCACCTTATACCTCCAGAAGTGAGGGAAATTATGGGCCGTGAGAAGTAAATGGGTTTCGGTCTAGCAAAGAGTACAGATCACCGCACAGGGGGAGGACACCTCGCCGGCCACCCAGCTCGGCCGCCCCGCTCCCTCCTCCCGGGCGTCCTGGGCGACTCACCGGCCAAGGGCTATGTCTATCCAACTCGGGCCGAACCTCGCCGGCGAGACACTGAGAAGCCGCAGGAGAGGTGACCTCTGGCTCACCACACCGTGGAACTCCAGACCACTCCACCTCTCCAATGTAACGGAGCCCCTTCCTCTAGAATCCAACAATCACCTGACTTCCGCTTCCGGCGGGCTAATGTTGAGGGTGCCTGTCAAGTCTCGCGATAACCAAGGCTCGTCGTGTGGCTCGCTTTGCAACAGATCGCTTCTTCAAATGCTGGCGCAACGCCCAGAGCTCGATGAGGTGTGGGCAAGTAGCTGTCTGAAGGTGGATGATGCCCTCCATGCGCTTTCAGCCTGCCTGGTGGGTGGCCAGTCGAAAACGTCGCCGTCTATTAAGCTCCTTTGACTGGGAGCCGTGGACGGGTAGAGACGGAAGTTCTGGGAATCACCGGAGAAGGGAGGGAAAGGCTCCTTCCGGCCGCCTGCTCCCGGCGTCTTCGTGGGGAACTGAGGTGAGAGCAGGCCGTGAAGAGTAGACACGACTGATGACTTCAGGGATGCTACACCTTTCTCTCCTGCCTGGGAAAGACTTGGTAGTAAGATTTCCGTAGTCCGTTTTGTATGTGGTTTTGCAGAAACATACTACTCTCTGCTCCAGCTTCAGTCGTCAGTATCCAGCTACTTCCAAGAGCCTTGCCCATGTGTTCTGGGATGTTCCGCAAATGTATAAACACTTAATATCCCGACAAAGCTTGGCCTCTTCCCTCCCAAACTACTTCCCAGGCTATGCACCCGTTTTTGTTAATACAATGGACTTGGAAACTTTGATGTCAGATTTGATGCCCTTTCTTTCCTTCCCATGCTCCAATCACTTGCCAAGTCCTGTCGATTGTACCCCTACAGTAATTCTGGCATCCTCTTAACCACTGCCCCCACCTAATCAAAGTTCTCATTACCATCCCCTGCACGGTGTCAGTGCAGTACTTTTCTCATTGATGTCCTGCCTCTAGCATCACTCTGCTACCAATCTATCTTACATGTACCTGCTATAGGAGTAGTCATCTTCAAGCACCGCCGTGATCCAAAATAGCTGATCCAATGACTCTCTGTTGCCTGTAGATTAAAGGTCAAGTTTATTAACTTGGATTCAAAAGTTTTTTTTGTTTTCTGCTGTTCCCCTTCCATTCTCCCTCAGTCAGTGGTAAACCAGACCCTGTGAAGTACTTCATGCATAAATTATTACATTTTTATAGATTGCTTATGTCCCTTGCATGAAATACCTGTCCCTCCCTCTCATCTCCAAATACTGAAATTCTTTCCATTATTTAAAGCTTTAGAAAGTGACATCTCCACCTAGAAATAATTTTTCTTTCTATTGAGAATCCATCATATTTCTGGAACTTCATGTATTTAGTTATTACCACTTTCTAACTTCGATCTACAATTATTTACTTGCAAGTTTTTCCCCCTATTAAACTGTAAACAGGCCTTTATCCAATGCATTTCTACATTCTGGAGTGTATGAACATTGTGCTTTTTTGTTTGTTTGTTTGTTTCTTTGACACAGGGTCTCATTCTGTTGCCCAGGCTGGAGTGCAGTGACGTGAGCATGGCATACTGCAGCCTCAACTTCCTGGGCTCAGGTGATCCTCTTGGCTCAGCCTCCCGAGAGCTGGGACTACAGGTGCACACCACTGCCCTGCTAATTTTTCGTATTTTTGTAGAGATGAAATTTTACAGTATTGCCCAGTCTGGTCTTGAGCTCTGGGCTCAAGCAGTCCACCTACCTCAGCCTCCCAAAGGGCTGGGATTACAGGCCTGAGCCACCAAGCCCAGCCCCACATTGTGCTTTTTACATGAAGTTAGCACTAAGTAAGTGTTTGTGGAATGAATGATAGAACTATGAATATTCCAAGTAATGTTTTAGAAACATTAACCTAGCAAAAGTGTATAGGATAGTATGGATGAGGGAATAGGATAGTCTTGGTGTTGGGTAGTAAAGGTAAGAGCTGTAACAACCAAGGTTACAATAATTGAATAGTACTATCCTGGAGCTCCTGTAGTGCAATTGGTTAGTGTACAGTACTTAATGTGAATAGTACTATCCTTAGTTACTGAGTGGATGATGGGAGAAAAAGATTGGCAGAAATCAGGGAAGGAGGCCGGGCGCGGTTGCTCATGCCTGTAATCCCACCACTTTGGGAGGCTGAGGCGGGCGGATCACGAGGTCAGGAGATCGAGACCATCTTGGCGAACACAGTGAAACCCCATCTCTATTAAAAACACAAAAAATTAGCCGGGCGTGGTGGCGGGCACCTGTAGTCCCAGCTACTCGGGAGGCTGAGGCAGGAGAATGGCGTGAACCTGGGAGGCGGAGCTTGCAGTGAGCCGAGATCGCGCCACTGCATTCCAGCCTGGGCAACAGAGCGAGACTCCATCTCCAAAAAAAAAGAACCAAAAAAAAAAAAAAAAAAGGAAATCAGGGAAGAAGCTGGGTGCGGTGGCTCACTGCTGTAATCCCAGCACTTTGAGAGACTGAGGCAGGTGGATCACCTGATGTCAGGAGTTCAAGACCAGCCTGACCAACATGGTGAAATCCTGTCTTTACTAAAAATTCAAAAAAATTAGCTGGGCGTGGTCGTGGGCACCTGTAATCCCAGCTACTCGGGAAGCTGAGGCAGAGAGAATTGCTTCAACCTGGGAGGCAGAGGTTGCAGTGAGCTGAGATTCCACCACTGCACTCCAGCCTGGGCAACAGAGTGAGACTCCATCTAAAAAAAAAAAAAAAAAAAAAGAGAGAAATCAGGAAAGACTCCAATTATTTAAGCCTGGGAAATTGGGGCTGAAAAGGAATATCTATAAGGTAAATTGGCTTTAAGGCAAAAATGAACTCAGAGCCCAAATACATTTGTAAAATTTGAAACACTGGTGAAATATTCAAGAGAAAATTTCCGGGGATGTTGTTAGAAATTCAAGACTAAAGCTCAGGAAAGAGAGTCTCTGCCCAGATGTGTAAATGTGTCAGTAATTCATGAAGAAACAATAGTTGAAATAACTTGTGTACAGATGCTCCCCGACAGGACAGTTTGACTTAACGATTGTTATACTTTACAGTGGTACCATGTGCATTCAGTAGCAGTGTACTTTGAGTACCTATACATTCTATTTTTCACTTTCAGTACAGTAGTCAATAAATTATATGAGATATTCAACACTTTATTATAAAATAAACTTTGTGTTAAATGAGCCTGCCCAACTATAGGCTAATGTAAGTGTCCTGAGCATGTTTAAGGTAGGCTAAGCCAAACTATGATGTTTGGTAGATTAGGTGTACTAACTGCATTTTTGACTTAATGATATTTCTACTTATGATGGGTTTATCTGGACATAACCCTGTCAAAAATCAAGGAGCAGCTGTATATGATCTTTTCAACAGGGAAAGCATTCATAGAGAAGAGAAGGCTACCAAGGCCTATCCCTCAGGAAATACCCATATTTAGGAGACAAGAATAGGACATAGAAAACTTGAAGGGGGCGGTGTAACAATTGAAAAACTGAGAAAAATGCTTCCCCACCTGATATCAGGAATCAAGGAGGATATTTGGAAAGGGGCTTCTTGTAGGCTAGTTTGCTTGTTTCCTTGTGACTATTACTGACATTATTTGTAAGTAATGAGGACTTACCCAGAAAAGAATATATAGGTTGGGCATCCCTAATCCCCAAATCCAAAATCCAAAATGTCCCCAAATCCAAAACTTTTTGAGTGCCAACATGACACTCAAAGGAAATGCTCATTGGAGCATTTTGGATTTCAGATTTTCATAGCAGGCATACTCAACTGGTATTTCCTTCCTGTAAATTTGTGTGTGACACTTAGGGGCCTCTAGGCCTCTGAGAGTTTCTATGAAGAACTCTAGGTATTCCAGCAGATTTTCAAATTTTCAAATGAAATTATTTTCTGCCTACCAATGTCTTTTCATACTCTGTTATCTTATTGATTATTATGTCTCATTTTCTGACAACAGGAAATCTGTTTCATGAAGGGGAATTTTCTAGATAACTGACACTCAAACTTTAAGCATCAGAAATTTTTCATTGAAACCACTTTTGATGGAAATGTTTGCAAAATGTGCCTCTTACCTGTCTGGTATAACCATAGTATGTGGGCCATAATTTAATCTTTGCTTGGCAACTAAAAGTCACTGTTCAAGCATCAGTTATATTCTTCTGGATATTAATATCCTTGGGCCTGTTGATATGTATGAGAAAGGTTACATCATGATATTTATAGTGTCTTTTTCTACTAATTGTAGACATTTTGTTTTACCTAAGCAGATGTATTTTTTAAATTGTGGTAAAATATATGTAACATAAAATTTACCATTTTAACCATTTTTAAGTGCAGAGGTCATTGACAGTAAGTACATTCACATTGTTGTGCAACCATCACCACCATCCATCTCCAGAAATTTTTTCGTCTTCTCACACTGAAATTCTGTGCCCATGAAGCCATAACTGCATTTTCCTCTCCTCCCTGCCCCTAGCAACCACCATTCTACTTTGTCTTTATGAATATGACTACTCTAGGTACATCATGCAAATGAAATACATTATATGCCATTTTGTGACTGGCTTATTTAACTTAGCATAAGGTCCTCAAGGTTCATCCACATTGTAGCGTATGTCAGAATTTCCTTCCCTTTTATTGAATAATATTGCATTGTATGTTTACACCGTATTTTGTTATCCATTCATCTATTAATGGACACTTGAGCTGCTTCCTCTTTTTGGCTATTATGAATAATGTGTCTGTAAATATAGATATACAAATATCTATTTAAGTCCCTGCTTTCTATTCTTTTGAGTATATACCCAGAAGTGGAATTGCTGGATCATATGATAACTTTATTATTAATTTTCTGAGGAACCACCATAGTGTTTTCCATAATGGCTGTGCCATTTTACATTCCCAATGGCAGTGCGCAATTACTCATAACTTTAAACCTTAGTTTGACCCAATGATCTACAGGCAAAACACACCAGCAGAAAGTCCTGGGGAATCCTAGCATCAAAAGAACTCTACTTTCAGAGGCCATTTGTGATCTTGGACAACAACCACTTTAGAGACAGTAAAGCGGTCAAGAGGTTATGCAATTTATCCAGGGGCACAGCTGGTAAATGGGCCTGTCAAATGGGATAGGAAGAGGGAGATATTGGGCAGCTTGCAGTTGCCTGTGTCTTTGGCCAGTGCATCCTCTGCTCTTGCAAGTTGTGCTTGCAATTATTCCTTCTCTCTTCTCTGTTTTCAACTCTCCCTCTTTACTGGCTGCTCCCATCCCCACACTTGCTCAAATTTCTTCAGTCTCAAGGCAAAACCAATACCCTGCCCTCAATCCTGTATCCTCCTCAGACTATCTCGGATCTCCTTCCCGGGCCCCCTCCCGCCCCCCACCCCCATGGGTATTTTACAAAGAATACTCCACACCTGCAGTTTATACTTCTCTACCTTTTCCATACAATTCAGTCAAATTTCTGCCCTTGAGTACTCCACTGAAACCACTCTACTAAAACCACCCCGGCAAAGTTCACTAGGGAAAAGTTTTCCCAGGGCCAAATTCAAGACTCTTTCTAAAATCGTCAGCATATTTCGTATCTGTGCAGTATTTGTCGCCTTTATCTCCTTCCTCCTTTAAACCTTCTCACTTTGTTTCCAAGTTTCTCATGATTCTCCTCTTCCCTGGGTCACTGTTTTCTTATTGTTCTGTATTATTTTATGTGATGGTCAGTCAGGTGTGGCCACAAAAGGAGATACAGGAGAGGCTCTGAAAAACAAAGTTCATTATACTCACAAGTCCTGGAGATAGGAAGCACAACACGCCACGCAGGGCCACATGTGAAAGACACCAGGGTGGTCAGAGGCGGAAGACAGAAGCAAGGGGAAAGCATTAAGCTGGAGTCTTTACTGGAGTTTCATTAGGAAAGGAAAGGCAGGTCAGGGTAAACATTTTAGGATTGGCTAGTTTGAATAACTTCAGAGGG